GCGGGATCGGGCAGTGTTTCGTTCTGCTGTGCATGGGGTCGCTATGAGTCGGAAACGACTCGACAGCACTTAACAACAACAACTAACAACAAGTTCTGAAATTCTCCATTTTCCCTCTCTTTACACTAAATATCTATAACCTATCACTCAGTTTTTCTGTATCAAGAGAAAAAGAGTCTTCCTTCTTTCCAAGTTAACTGATGTCTTCTTGCTCATTTATAGTACTGTGATGACTGCTCTCCATGTTACTATCCTAGCTATGAACATGTCAATGAATCCTCTGAACTCTATCCAAACTGGCTTAACCACCATGCCATGAAAAGTCTTGCATTTTTTCTATCTACTTTTGTTTAAGGCATCCAAACAGTATAAAATGCCTTTACTTATTTTGCCTTCCTGCTTTTCTCAATCTCCTCTGTAAAATCTTCCCTGGTTACTCCATCTAAAATTTGTCCCTGTTTGAAATTCCTATAGCACTCACTGCACAACGTTCAGTAATTACTTTATTGTGGCATTATGAATTACAAGGTTTTTTAAGTCTCATATTATGTAGTTATTGTGCTTACCTTTTATCTTTCTTAAAAACATAACAAAACAAAACAAAAAACCAAACTCACTGCCATGGAATTGATTCTGACTCATAGTGACTGCCATTGGGTTTCTGGGGTGGTAAATCTTTACAGAAGTAGATTGCCCCCTCTTCCTACCACAGAGCTGCTGGTGGGTTTGAATTGCCAATTTTTTGATTAGCAGTCAAATGCCTTAGGCACTATGCCACCATAGCTCCTTACTAGACTGTAAACTCCCACCGTTCCTGCCATCTCAAAGACACAGTTTCATTTAGAAATCAGAAAGTCTCTGAAGTTACTTGATAATATTGCAAGGAGTTGCTTCAAACATTAGTTGTTCTGTTTTGTTTTCTTTTTCTTGTTTTTCTTCCACCCTTTCCTTCCCTTCTTCCTTCTTTCTTAAAGAACCCTCAAGTTGCTAGAAGGAATTAGCAACCAGCACAGCTCTGCCATTGACCTGAGATTCTGAAAAGTCATTATTCTTAGGACAAGAATACTAGAGTATATGCTTCATGAAAGCAGAGCATTTATCTGCTTTCCTTATTGTGACAGCCTCTGTACCTAAAACAAAACATGACACAAAGCAGATGTTCAAATATTTATTTTTTATTTTTTCATCTATAAATGAGGAAACAGAATAGCTACTGTTTTAATGACCACATATCAAAGCATTCCAGATTATTTGGTCTTAGATATCCTTTAGCTATTTTAGGCTGAATAAAGACCATTATTCTTTACCCTTACTTCTTTAACCAGAGGTAATAAGCATATTTTCATCTGCATGCTTGATTTTTTTCACTATAGTATTTTTCCTTTACCTTGTGTAAAATCTGCATACTTATTAGGTTACACTTTGGTAGGAAGCTAATCAAATCCTACACGTTTTGTGGATACTTATAACTTCAGGAATTAGATGACATCAGCAGAACAAATTATAATAATTCAACAAATAAAAAGCAAATACCATTTCTGCTGTGACCAATGCTTTGGTGATTAAATATACATATTTTAACGTAATATAAATATAGTAATACATTTTATCATAAGTAATAAAATACAATCTTAAAGATCACTATGAAAAAAAAGAACCTCATAGTGACATACTAGGTAGTTGTTTATAGCATACGTAAAATTTCAAAACCCAAACCAAACTCACTGCCGTTCAGTCGAACCCAACTCACAGTGACACTTCCTTGGGTTTCAGAGGCGGTATCAGATTGCCCAATCTTCCTTCTGAAGGGTGGCTGGTGAGTTTGAACTGCCAGCCTGCTGGTTAACAGTCAAATGCCTTAGGCACTATACCAGCAGAGCTCCAAAGGCTGCAAAAACTATTAGCGTGGATCATGACCAGATAACTTTAAAAATTGTAATACAGAATTAGTCATACCTTTGTTGATGAATTTTTCTAATTTTAGATTCATAGTAATCGATCAGGCAAAGCAACCTAGAAGACAGAAGAGATATTTGAGACTTATTCTCAAAATGCTATATTAGAGCACCTACTATTATCTCTATGTAATTACAGTGATAAAAATAGTGACAGATTACCTGGTTGGTTTTAAAAAATTAAATATTTACTAGTAGAAGCAAGTATTAATACTATGTCATATATGTTATATTAATTATAAAGTACAGGTTTTAAAATAACAACAAACATTCTCTCTCAACTTATTAAATATGTATTTTCCATGTCCCAACAGGTCTAACCTCCAGCAATCTCTCCCACAGAAATATATGTCTAATGGTGCAACTGAATATGTAAAAAGTTGTTCACTGCACCATTATTTATTTTTGAATGAAAAGGCAGAAACAATTTAAACATCCTTCAACAGGGAAAAAGTTAAATAAATAATGGCAGATTTATACTACAGAAAATCATGCACTATTAAAAGAAGTGATATAAATTGCAAGTCCTGATCAGGACTGCCTGGACTATATAAAGAAGAACATGGCATCAGGATTGGAGGAAGACTCATCAACAACCTGCAATATGCAGATGACACAAATTTCCTTGCTGAAAGTGAAGATGACTTGACTCACTTACTAATGAAAATGAAGATTAAAGACAACAGTGTTCAGTATGGATTACATCTCAACATAAAGAAAATGAAAATCCTCACAAAGTGGACTAATAAGCAGCATCATGATAAAAGGAGAAAAGCTGGAACTTGTCAAAGATTTCATATTACTTGATTTCACAATCAACACCAATGGAAGCAGCAGTCAAGAAATCAAACAATGTATTGCACTGGGCAAATCTGCTGCAAAAGACCTCTTTCAAGTGCTGAAGAGTAAAGATGTCTCTTTGAAAGCTAGAGTGTGCCTAACCCAAGCAATGGTGTTTTCAATTGCCTCATATACATGTGAGAGCTAGACAATGAATAAGGAAGACTGAAGAAGAGTTGATGCTTTTGAGTTATGGTGTTGGTGAAGAATACTGAAAGTACCATGGACTGCCAAAAGACCTAACAGATCCGTCCTGGAGGAAGTGCAACCAGAATTCTCCTTGGAAGCGAAAATGGCCAGACTTCATCTTACCTACTTTGGTCATGTTGCCAGAAGGGACCATTCCCTGGAGAAGGATACCATGTTTAGTAAAGTGGAGGGTCAGGGAAAAAGAAGGCCCTCAATGAGATGGACTGACACAGTGGCTGCAACGATGGCCTCAGGTATATCTAGGATTGTGAGGCTCGCACAGGACCAGGCAGTTTTGTTCTGCCATACGTAGGGTTGCTATGAGTAGGAGCCGACTCAATGGCACCTAACAACAAGAAGTTTGTCTGTTTTTTCTTTGATGGTCTTTACAGCTCTTTGATCCAACCTGAATTTGTTTTTGTAAGATATGGGTCCTGTTTCATATTACTGCAAACAGACATCCAGTTTTGCCGACATCATCTATTAAAGAGATTATTTCTTCCCTAGTTAATGAGTTCTGGCCTTTTGTCAAAGATCAGCTGTCCAAAGGTAGATGGATTTATCTCTGGGTTCTCAGTTCTGTTCCATTGGTCTATGTGTCTATTGTCATATCAGTATTAGGCTCCTTCAACTACTGTGGCTGTACAGTAGGTTTTGAGATTGGGGTGAGATGCCTCCTACTCTGTTGTTTTTCTTTGGTAGTTCTTTACTGATCCAAGATCTCTTTTCTTTCCATATAAAGGCTTTCCATCCCTTTAAAGACGACGGAATCTGGATCAGGACTGCATTATATCTGTAGATCACTTTGGGTAGTATTGATATTTTCACGTTTTAGGTCTTTCTATCTATGAGCATGATATACTCTTCCATTTATGTAGTTTTTCTTTTGGTTTCTTGTAATAGTGTTTTGTAGTTTTCTTTATATAGGTCTTCTGCATCTCTAGTTAGACTTATTGCTAAGTACTTCATCTTTTGGGTGGTTACTGTGAATGGTACTGTTTTCCTGATTTCCCTTTCAGAGTTCTCTTTGTAATGTAAGTATCTGACTGATTTTTTTATGTTGCTCTTGTACCCTGCCACTTTATGAAAGCATCAATTAGTTCCAGTAATTGTCTTGCTTAGTCTCTGCAATTTTCCATGTATAAGATTACATCATCTACAAATAGAGACAATTTTACTTCTTCATCGTTAATTTGGATGCCTTTTATTTACTTTTATTGCCTTAATGCTCTGGCAAGCACTTCCAATACAATACTTGTCTGGTACCTGTTGCAAGAGGAATGCATTCAGTCTCTCCCCATTAAGATTAAGGTTAGCCATTAGTTTTGTATAACCAAAAAAAAAAAAAAAAACCAACAAACTCACTAACATCTAGTCAGATCTGACTCATAGTGACCCCTCCTTGGGTTTTGGAGGCAGTATCACTATGGAAGTAGATTGCCCAATCTTCCTTCTGAGGTGTGGCTGGTGGGTTTGAATCACCATCCTTCTGGTTATCAGTCAAATGCCTTAGACACTATGCCACCAGAGCTCCTGTTTTGTATACATGCCCTTAATTATGTTGAGGATTTTCCCTTCTTATTCCTATTTTGTTCAGCATTTTATCTGGAATGGGTGTTGCCTTTTCTTCATCTACTGATATTATAATATGGTTCCTTTTCTTTATGTAATGAATTATGCTGACTCTTTTTCTAATGTGAACCATGCCTGCATGCCTGGTATGAATCCAGGAATGATGTATTATTTTTTGATATGCTGTTGGAGTCTATTGGTTAGGATTTTGTTGAGAATTTTTGCATCTATGTTCATGAGGATAATGGTCCATAATTTTCTTTTTTTTAGTGGTAGCTTTGCCTGACTTTGGTATTAGGCTTGCTTCATAAAATGAAATTTGGGAGTATTCCCTCCTCTTATATATTCTGGAATAATTTGAGCAAAACTGGTGTCAGCTCTTCTCTGAATGTTTGATAGAATTTATCAGTGAAGGCATCTGGGTCAGGATTTTTTTTTTTTTCTCCTAACGATCTGTTCAATCTCTTTGGTTATGGATCTGTTCAAATTTTATATCTCAGTGTGTGTTAGTTTAGGTAGGTAATGTGTTTGTAGAAATCTGTACCTTTCTTTCAGGTTTTCAAATCTGTTCAAGTACAGTTCTTCATTGTTGTTATTGTTGTTAGGTGCCATCAAGTCATTTCTGACTCATAGAGACCCCATGCACAGCAGAATGAAACACTGCCCAATCCCGTGCCACCTCCATAATCCCTGCTATACTTGAGCCCATCATTGCAGCCATCATGTCAATCCATCTTGTTGAAGGCCTCCCCCTCTTTCGTTGACCCGCCACCCTACCAAGCATGACATCCTTCTCCAGGGAATGGTCCCTTCTGACAACATGACCAAAGTAGGTGATACCAGGTTTGGCCATTCTCGCTTCCAAGGAGCATTTCAGGTGCACTTCCTCCAGGATGTTGTTGTTGTTGTTATGTGCCGTCGAGTCAGCCCCGACTCATAGCGACCCCTCCTTGGGTTTT